CTCATTATCCGTAATGACGTCTTTTCCCGAATATTATCCTCTTCTTTCCATTGCTCTTCCTTCTGTTCCTCCCCGTTGTTATCTTCAAAGGAGATTTTACTTGCCTGGGCAGCAGATTCTGATGATGACGATGATGAATTACTTCGGGTCGCTGCTGGTGGTGATGCCTCGCGGTCCTTAATCAATGCCGCGGCTTTGTGCTCAACTGCCTTGGGAGTTGTTTTTGACATCAGCGACTCACGCTTGCGGCCGCGCAGATCCTCCAGTTGATCCGTTGGGGCGACGTTATCGCCGTTGAGGATATAATACTTATAGTCCAGAATGACCTCACTGAGATGAACTTTCTGCCGGTCTTGAAAAACAACCCCCAAGACTGCGGTGTCGGCAAAAAGAAGGAGGAGCGTTCCTGTCGCCAAGAGGAGCATAAGACGCCTGGGGCTGGTTGGATGCCACGCCACGCCAGTCACAACAGCCGTTGTCTTAAACTCACAGACACGGGCGCTCAGCACATCGATCAGATAATGATTTAGCCGACCTGTGCTTATTACAGCCACCAGCTTTCCGTCAGCGGAGGTATGAAGGCTGCACCGCACCTCTTGTTGTGGGCTGTCCAACTGAGAATGCGGTGTCGCCGCGTCTCGTTCCTTCATCCTCGTGAACGCAGGTGTCTCCGATGAAATGTCAGCATCCATAGAAGCGATGTCACTTCGTGGATTGAAGCGCACCCGACGCGGCAACGGGTACAACGTGACGGGCTCCTCCACCAGCTTTTTTGTCACAAGGAACATATTTTCTGTGTCGTCACGTATAACAGCCATAAAAGTGTCATTCCCCAAGTGCCCGGCACCATTGGAGCGCATCGTTGTTGTTTGATTCCTTCTTCTGCCCCCCGCTTTTTTTCCCCCTCTTTTCTACTGCTTCTGCTGATATCGTTGGGTGTTGAATTGCCTTGAATATACACCGCTCCCACAGAAGCACACACGTACGCTTGGCTCCCCCTTTCTATCCCTCTTGTTTTCTATCATTGCAAGGCAACACGTCACGGGCAACAACAAAACGGCACCACAGACCAGGGGAAGGTGAAAAAAAAAAAAAAAAAAAAAGGAAAAACAAAAATCACCTCAAGCGTGAGCGTCAACAACGTGCGTCGGGCAAATACAGCTGGCAGTGAGTGTGGTGGCCGCATGGCAGTGGGAGCAGAGGCAGTACAAGAAAACAGGAGGAACCAAGAAGTGGGAAACCCGTCCCACACAAGCAGATAATTATAACATAAAACAAAACAAAAAAAGGTCTTCCCACCAAAATAATTTTCTTTTCTCCCTTTTTGACGTCCTTCCTCACTCCTCTTTCCTTTTTTCGTTTTGATTTTGTTATGTTGTTGTGCTTGTATGAACCATTCCCCTCCCCCCCCCCCCTTTTTTTTTTTTTTTCCTTTATTGAGACTATAATACATGGGACACATGAAAAATGGGGGGTGTAGGGGGTGTGAGAGATGAAAGCGAAGTCATCTTCGCCCAGCGAGGAAGTATACATGCACACACATACAAAAATCTGGCAGATTCAACCATCGGCGTCTGCTTATACTTTTCATTTCTTCCCCCCCCCCCTCCCCTTTTCCCCTCCACTTCGGACCATTTTCTTTTTTTATTTTATTTTATTTTTTTTAAAAT